ATATTTTAGATTTTTTATATTTAAAATAAGATGTTTATCTTGTATTTGATTATGTTTATCTGCAATTAGTTACACGAATTCAGATATGGAGCTTACGCATAATCTACTTGTAATATTGAGTTTTAAGTAATATGCATTAATAAACAATACTTTACGCATAAAAAGTAGTTTTTAAGAGTTTTTGTCAAAAGCTTTATATTATAGCATAGATTTTTTTTATAATTTAATTCAAGTTTAATAATGAAATAATTTATTTTTGGTTTAATAATATAACATTTTATAAAGATAATAATTAAGTATTATATTAGAACTCAATGATTATCCTAATTATATTTTAGACTTTTTATATTTAAAATGAGATGTTTATCCTGTATTTGATTGTGTTTATCTGCAGTTAGTTACACGAATTCATATATGGAATAAGACTAATCTTAATAAGACTTGAACCGATGGTGAATAAGGATTAAATCGAACCTAATGGTTATATGTTCAAATAGTTATTAGATGCATAAGGTCTAGTTTTTTTTCCCGTCTCCGGCTTTTAAAACCCTTTTTTCACAAGGGTGGTGCCTAATTAGTTTGAACTTGGCTCCAAAGGTCAAAAGTGCCAGGAGGTCCCAGGTTCAAATCCAAGGAGGAACAAAAATCCCCTTGTGGCCACGGAGGTTCAAATACGATGACTCCTGGCTACGTGCAAAACAGGTGGTCGTCCTGATATTAGTCGGCTCGCATAGCGGGTTGGATATCCAGGTTAATAAAAAAAAAAGAGTTTGGATTTTTAGGGTTTGAACTTGGGATTAAAAATTGAAAGATAGTCTGATCAGGCTTTAACTAGTCTTTAAAAAGAAGTTGGTTTCATCAAACTTTAACACGTTCAAGCTTAATAGGTCATAACCCTTTCGAGCTGAATATTAAGCTATGGATTTTTTTTCAGCATCTATAGTTATGAGTTATTGACGATAAATAAGAATGGTTTGATAATAATATAAAATTACCTTATTTTAATTAAATAATTTTGATTTTAAAAATTGCAATAATTATCCATAAACATACATCAAAATAAAAGTCAATTGTGCCAATAAACATGTTAATGTGTTGTGGTGTTTGATTGAGACAAATGGGAAGAGAATAAGTTCAAAAAGGTAATGTTTAATTTTGTATATTATGATCAAATAAGTATCTTATCTTGTAATGATTCCATAATTATGCTTGAAGAAAGCATAATGAATGCTCTCAAAGAACTAGTAATAGATGCAGGGGCGTATTTATTAGGGTGCGT